GTGCTCGGTCTGCAGTGACGTTAAGGCGGTCCGGCCTGGAACATGGAGGTCACAGCAGAGTTCTGCTGTGGTTACAGCCTTAGGTCCCCGTTTGAGTTGATTTGATGCTTTTCTTCTTTCTGTTCGAAAACAGAAACGGTTGGTCTGTTTTTAGTCAACATTTCTGAACTTGTTGCGACAGCTATGATCCCAGTCAAGCAAAGCGATTGTTGCTCTCCCTCCAGTCACAGTTTGTCATTAAACTAAAGGTCCAAAGCCATAAACCCGTGCAGTGAAACAGGAGAAAGCTGCACTCCGCTTCAGTGCATGCCTCTGGGAACATTTCTGAAGTTTGATTTTATTGCTTTCTTTGGCTTCTCTGTAAATAGATGGGCTTCTGGTTGTCCATGCATAGAGTTGATAGTAAACAACAGAAAGGAAACTGGCTCACTTTGCTGTGGAACAGAGCTGTTTTGTGTCCAAGAGCGGAGAAACAACCACAAGGAAATGTTGTAACTCTGCCATAAGGAACTGTCTATAAATCACAGAATAAAACCCGGTGTTGTTGTGAGGCAGAATTAGAATCCTGGTGTTGTCTGAATGGAAATATGGAACAGGACACAGTTTTTTAAGTTTCAGAGATTAGCTCCAAAGAAGGATGGAGATGAATACCGTCCCTTTTAGGTGAGACCCAGATGTGCAGGCGGGAAGAAAATAAACTCAGTTCCTCCAGAGTTCTGTCTTTTTGTAAAAACAGCAGCTAAGCAGAGGTGTGGCTGCGCTTATTCACCTATTTTTAGTTTTCTGCTCTTCAGAAAATTTTACTGAAAAACAGCACTGAAGTAGGTTTAAGTATTTTCAGCTCTAACAAAACCCAAATCTGACGGAAGCGCCTGAGTGAGAGACCACATCTGTGCTGTGACTCCAGCTGCTCCGCCGTGTGTGATGCAAAGTCAGAAGCAGCAGGCTGACGCCGACACCTTAACTTATCTGCCTCTCTTTACGATTCCACGCAGTCGGTCAGAGCCACACACACAGCTTTCTAATTCCTGGTTTGGGCTCGTTGTGTGTTTCATTTCACGGTGATGCAGATGTTTTCACCTGTGGACCCCTGGCCTTTTCTTGTTTCATATGCTCAGAGTTCAGTTGGGCATCAACCTACTGAGTCAGCGTTCCTTAGAACGTGTGTTTGGACCCTCGCAGATGTGCGAGTTTCTGGCGTCGGCTTACGCTGGCTTTGGAAATGATGAAGCTGGATGGTGCCTCTCGTCTTCAGTGTGGAGGACACATTCCAGCTCTCCCAGAAAGAATATGTAATTTTGCCTGGTCCAACCGCAGGAGGGTTCTCCTCTTTGCCTTGGCCCAGAAGGCGGCACCGTCTCTGGAGCTTGTTTTTGGTTTCCTTGTCCTCGTAGAGTTTTAGCTTGCTCAGATTTGGTTCATCTATTCATAAACATCATTATTGTCGTTCTCACTGATACCGAACCTGCCATAATAATACCTCGCATTTTTAGATTTAAAAAACAATAAGATATTTCTATGTCTGTAAGTTTCCAGATATAAGAGCCACTTCCTGCCTTCAACTTCTGAAGTCCCACTTTCTCTGTGACGCGGTTGTTTTTCCCATTTTTATGCTGAGCTTTTATTTTACTGTCGCCTCAAAGCAAAAAACGCAGTTACTTGATTTCAGTTATTCTGCTCGTATTTATGTAGAGCTGTGGAGTCACAGCTGAATCACTTAGTAGAAAGAAATCTATCTCTTCTTGTCTATTACGCCCACACAGACTGACTTCATGAAAACCAATCATGAAAATAAAGTTGAATGAGTCTGAAAAAGTAAAAGCTTTTTCTTTTAATCAAAACCATCTGATCCTCTTTGTTGAGATAAAGCAAAACTTCTCTAATGCTCCATGTCTTTTCTTTCAGTTGTCCCTCGGAGATGAACAGTGTGAAGTGACACGAAATGGCTACGAGACTAAAGAGCTGGTGTACTTAGTTCATATTTACTGCCAGGTAAGAAGGTTAACTCCTTTTTTTTGTTCAGTACAACATACATACAACACGTTCATTTAAGTTGTTGACGAATGATTGATGCTCAGAAAAGAAAACTTTCCTCCTGAGTAGAAAGTGGATGAAACACCAGATTCCTTGTTTTTAAAGATCCCAAATTGTGCCGGAAATGAGAAAAGCTGCTGTGTTTGTGATGTAATTCACAAAGAACGGCCTTCTAAGCTTGAGTTCATCACTTCTTCAATGAATAATAAAAAAAAAACAACATTGTATTTTATTTGCGGTCACCAAACAAAACAAAGACACATGATGTGACTGATACAAGCATCACACAGGAAACAGTCTGAACGGAAAAGAAAACTGTGAAACAGAGGTAACGCCAGCTCCTGGATTAGAGGGCACGTGGCTGCCCAAAAAGGTGAGCTTTGAGGCAGGATTTGAACATGGTGAGAGAATCTGAAAGCTTTATGTCATGTGGGAGAGATTTCCAAAGATGTGTAAAGGGCTCTCAACACTGTGGTGGCCATGCGAGCAGGAATGAGGCTGAGTTTAGTTTGGAGCCTTAAATGTGAGCAATGAGATTTTATGGGTGATTTGGAGCCAATGAAGCTGCTGGAGGTAATACGACTGAAAGACTCTGGAAATAAATCAGCCGGCAGAATTATAGAGCAACTAGCTTTACGGTTGGACCAAAAAGATGGGAGAACCAATCGTTGAGTCAGGATGTCAGCAGGGTGTGGAGCAGAGCGGCAGCAGTGAAGCAGACGTGACTGGAGTGACAGAGTGAGCAGCTTTAACACGCTGCCGTACATTTCAGGGTGTTACCTTTATATAAAGCATCTGGAAGCAGCTGTCACAGGATGTGTTCCCATCATTACTGAAGCATCGAATCATCCTTCCAGCTGCCACTCCAATGAATGCCTTTTTTCTTCTTAGATAATGATCGTGATCGGCTGAAGCTGCAGCAGTGTATTCCTTTTATTTGTTTTAATGCAGGGGTCACAGTGAGTTGGCTTAATCACACGCAGAATTCCTTTGGAGCAGAGTCCGATTTATTAGTCATTACATCATGCAGTGCGAGTTTATTTAAGAAGTCCTAAACATACACGCCAGCTGTCTCCACCAGTAAGATTTCTGATGCACAGACCACATAGCAGTCAGGTATGTGGTCATGCACTTGGAAATTCCAGCATATTACACCCACTGGAAAACTGCTAAATCCGCTCAGAAAAGAAGAAACAACACACACAGACACATGGCCTTGAGGTTTGCGCTCAGAAAGTAGCACAAGGAGTCTCACTGGTTCCGTGCCACAAACCCCAAAAAGGAGGGGGTAACCAGGAGCAGCGTCTGAAAGTGGGCCAGGGAGGCATAAGGAGCAGCGCGAGCCCGCAGAGCCCTCCCAGTGGCGTCTCTCCCTGCCAACGCTTGAAAGCAGCACCAGTGTCCGTGGGATGAGCGGCGCTGGGCAGCCCCAGCCGCACACGCCCTGGCCCAGCCTCAGAAGGATCCTTCGTGAGCGAATCAAAGCAAAAGACGCATACCACCGCTAGCTCTTCTCAGCCGGGTCTGAGGTTTTTCACTGGATTTAAGAAAAAAACAACAAATTCAAAGATTTTTGTTCCAGTAAAGTGACATTTAATGTGGTGGTTTCAGGGGAAAACTCTTGGTTTGCACTTGTGCTGTTGGAATTTAATCACTGCCTTCCACTTGGAAGGGCTGAGTAAGCCGTTGGCGCCCTTTATTCATCAAGATATTCCCATTTGTGAGTCATAAGCTGCATTTACAGTATTTGCACATTTGTCTTTGCATCAAAAGCATGAAAATAAGTAAACATGCAGGGAAAAGAAAGAGCAGCTTAGTGGGGATGTTTTTGCAGAATCAGGCTTAACGCTGTAGCAAAGGGAACCTATAGGTTAACCTGTTTATGAGGGCGGTGGAGAAGGTGAGCATGTTCTATAGGACTCAGCTGTGGGCGACTTTTTAGTTTACCATAAATATTCCACTTTATTCGGCACATTCTGTACTGAAAATGCAGAAACAAATGAGATATTTCATGAACTTTGGAGGTTTGGGGAGTGAAATAGTGATCAACACCCAGTGTGCAATATAAAGAACAAACACGATGAAGCCTCTGATCCCAGAGGGAACGAGTTAGCACTAAGTGTTTGGCAATGAAGTTTCAGTTATGTAAAGCATGTGCACCGATGTTCAGGGTGCTCTTATGTATGATGTCATTAAACAACTGCACCCAGAGACCGATGATGTAATGCTAACACACAGAGAGTGCTACACAGCTTTGTCTTGAGTCAGTTACAGAATGTAACCATTCAGCTAGAAAGCTTCAGCAAAGCAATCTACTACAGTGTTGCTCATCCCTCTGAGAGGAGCAGTAGTGCCTCTTTAGGGGCTGGTGGACAACATCTTCATCACCTAAGCTGTTAGCGTTAGCTGCAGCTAAAGGAAACAGGAAATTATAAATAAACCACAAGGAATTGTTTCTGAGATCCTTGAAGCTCACACGCTGAGAGTTGGAGCTGATTCCTTTTTGTGGTTCAGTTTTTTCAGTCCAGTAGGGAACTGGACCAAGTCGTTCAAACAGTTCAATGAGTGGTCTTTATCCAACTACCCCCAAATATAGTTTATCCTCTGAGGCATCTGCTGGATGCTGCTGGAGGCATGCTCCTCAGTACAGCTGACGGCAGAATGTTTCCATCAGAAGCTCCACCAGGGTGGGGGCTCAGAGGTCGAGGCTTAGCGATGGAGGTGGAGTAGATTTAAAAATAAAAATGAGAGCGGCTCATTAAAAGAGGGAAAGTTCAACCAGAGGGGAGGCAATGAAAATGTTTCAGAGTACCTTCTACATCCTTCGAGGAAATCAAATCTCTGCATATTTCATCCTCTAAAGAAACCGTTAATGTGCAGTGTTTCAAAGAGAAATCTAAAGCCCGGCATTTATCCCCTTTGAGTCACCCCACTCACATTTAATTTTACTATAACACGCCTAAGTTATGCTGCATCACGGTGCTGTTGCTGTTTCCTCCCAGCTGAAGTTCAGTGAATCTCAGAGCTGCCTTGCCTGTGCTTCTGCTGTCGTCCTGAAGGGTCGCAGTTGGATTGTGAAGCGCAGCTATGAGGATTTCCGCGTGCTGGACAAGCACTTGCATCTCTGCATCTACGACCGACGCTTCTCACAGCTGCCCGAGCTACCGCGACTGGACAGTCTGACCGACCAGTCCGAGGCAAGTTTACCTCCCTGTGTGAGTAGAGTGGTGTTCAGGGAAAAGCAAAGCATTCAGAGTTTCATAAGAATCACATTCTCTCTCCTTCTAAAAGCAGAAACCAACACAAATGTGTGTTAGTTGTTTTGTTTTCTGAAAATGTGAACAAATCACAACTCGACTGTTTCATTTAACAGCTGAACATCAAAAAATGAATGAAATAGTCAGAAGTGTCTATCTTAAATGAAAAACAGAGAACATTTGCATAACCATACATTTCTCACAATAACCATACATTTTATACCACAAACAGCTGGAGTCATTTTTATTTTTAAGTCAGTCCGCAGTTATGAGACACAGTTTTCAGAGCCAGTTTTAAGTGGATCTCATGTAATCACTGGATTATATTTCTCCTCAAGAGAGCCACGCCTGAGTTTCATCATATCAGTTTGACGATCTCTCCCAACACGTTAGCGTTTGACTACCCCGCCCCCGCCCCCCCCCCGACGATACTGTTTTCCAGCCTGCAACGGCACATCTTCACATCAGCAGTCTAGTTGTAAAATGCCTTTTTAGGCAGCAGTTGGTGTTTGTGAAGGCACTCTTAATCAGCAACTGTTGTTTACAAAAGCTAATGGGTATTTATTTAGAGAAATACAAATGGGATTCATATACATTTTCTCAGTGGGGATCTATGAACGGCTTAATGACCTTATTAAAACACCCCGTCATGTTAATAAATTACTTTAAATGTAGGAGCGAGTGTAAACGCTTCTCTGTGAGAGGCGATGTAGAACATTAAACAGCAGAACAAACAGGGGAGCCTGAGCTAATGTCCTCCCCCCGCTGACTCGTCCTCACATCAGCTCAGTTTTTTTTAAATAAAGGCCAATTTAAAGGGTTGGCCTCCACAGCTCTGCCCCTAGCCTACTTAAACACTTCTCTGGCCCAGCAAGGATTTATTTTTTTGATGCAGCAGCCAGAGCTTTGGTGGTTGACACAGAAAGAGTTTATACTGTTTGACTCTGGCTCTAAACCAGTACTGGAACCGGTTTGGTGGAAAACCGCCCCCAGTAAGCTTTTTCAGCTGGCTGGCTGTTGGGAAACGTGGTCCCAAAAAGTGAGCTGTCAGTGGAAACAATGGAAAAGATTAGAAACCTTCTTCCAGAAGGTAATTCAGCGTGAAGGGGAGCAAAAGATGCCCCCATTCAGCATCAGGTTCAAATGAAATGGGATGATTGATGAGGGACAGAAAAATCAAAGCAATGTGTCTGAAAATAGAAAATCTGAATCCATTAAAACTGAACTGAAAAACAAACGAGCAGAGACGGACTGAAAAGCAGTCTTTTTATCCTACTTAGTGTATCAACAGCGTTGATCTCCATCCAACAAAGTATTTATGGGGGAAATGAAAAAAGATCCACGAAAAAAAACCACATCCTGCAAAGCGGATCCGTCAAGAGCTAAAAAGCTGGATCCAGATGCATGAAGAATATTGTTTTAATTAGAAAATCCATCCAGACCGATTTAGCCAGACGAGTTTTATCGTTAATGACTGCATTACTTCATTTTTGATTTGTGTTTAAAATCTTTTAAAAGCCAAAACTTAAAGCCATTTCATCCCTGGATGTGTTTCTTCCTGATCCCACTTTGCTAAATAATAAATGAACAGAAATGAAGAAATAATCAGGAGTAGGAACAAAGGAGAATGTAGGTATTGAATTCAAATCAAGGTTATTCCAAGACGTTTGCCAGGAATTTGACTTGTCAGAAGTGGATGTTTTTGTTGATTGATGCTGAAGTCACATGTTGTAATGACACAATGCTCGGTTCTCCTCCCTCTCAGTCAGTTTCCCAGATGCTGTTGGCTTATCTCTCGCGGCTCTCGGCTATTGCTGACAACAAGATAAACTGCGGGCCTGCCCTCACATGGATGGAGGTAATATGCACTCTGATGCTTTCAAAAAATCTGAAAAATTGACTCTTATTTGTTTAGATCTGCTTTATGGACACTAAACTTCCACAGTTTTTCTGCGTCGTTCAGGGGCCCTCAGCCCTGTTTCTGTGCTTAAAGGCAAAAGTGGACTTTTTTCGATGCCCTTTAGTGGTCAAGGATTTACAGTAAGGAGAAGCACATACTCTGAGTCATGTCAACAGCGACAGGACTGTCGTAGAGGGAATTTCTCTGTTGTCAGACATCCTGCAGATGTTCCTTTACATCTGCTCAGGCGTGCAGTTTGTGTGTCTGACGTGATGAGGCTGCTCACAGTCGTCCCCAGATGAGCCAGTGAGTGACAGCCTGCTGTTTCTGTGTGGTTTGTGACTGTGTTCAACAGGTTGACAACAAGGGGAATCACCTTCTGGTCCACGAAGAGTCTTCCATCAACGTGCCAGCCATCGCCGCCGCCCATGTCATAAAGCGCTACATTGCACAGGCTTCAGACGAGCTGTCGTTTGAGGTGACGGCAAAAAGACTTTCTTTATTTGTCAGCCCACAGCTGACATGCAGACTTCGAGATGAAGTCTTTGCTGTTCCTCTGGTTTCAGTGACCCAGCGCCGGCTCAGGCTTTGTTTTATCTGCCCTTTTTTGGAAAAACAGGAGCCTGTTGTTGCTTTTTACTTTCATTGTTTTAATTGTGACATGATTCGAAAAACAGTTTCAGCTGGAAATCTATTTTTCAGTCCTGTCATTGAAAGCTTCCATTCAGCTTCCATTTACCGGTGGATGTAAGAGGAGCCACCTTCCTCTTTCACCATTGATCAGTGATTGACGTCGATGTTTGCAAACACAGATTCCCCCTGCGTGTGTAAAGGTTTTGTTACAACCCAACACAACCCAAAGTGTCCTTTAACCTCTGGAACAGTCTTGGTTAAACAGTCACTGGTGTCTTTTCTTAATTTTTTTTTTTTTTAAACTATCAGTAACAGCTTTAATCTCCTTGCAGGTTGGTGATATTGTGTCTGTGATAGATATGCCCCCTAAAGAAGACACCACGTGGTGGAGGGGCAAGCATGGCTTTCAGGTATTCACAAACAACTTTACAGCCTCAGGAAAAGGGACAGAATATTGCTTTTTAAAGCAGATTTCAAATGAAATGGCAGAAGCACAAAGAAAACTCCAGATCCTCCTTTACGTAGTGCTTCTGGGCAGATTACTGGGTGCACCTGTCTCCCCTGTGATGTTGGTTCGTTTCACCTTTTTCAGCATTTTCATGCTTTGAGAACATGTCGACAGTCGTAACAACAAGTAATTACATTTAGTTTATACTCTGCATTTCTACAGTGTCCCTACATAGAGGCTGGGGTTGTATAATATAGTGTCAGGGTGAACAGCCCAAACAAGACGTCCACATAACAGAAGGATCACTCAGGAATGCGCCCTTCTCAGTCTATGACCACGGCATTTCCTGCTTGGATTATGTTACATCGGCAGACCTCCTTTGCTTGCCAGATTCCTGAGAAAGGTCTCCCAGCATCCTATGCTCCACCGTCTCCATTCAAACAAATGATAGTTTTGTTTTAAAGTCAGTGTGCACTGAGCCAGAGGCACAGGTTTGACCCATGTCCAAAAACATGGAGTGGATTTAGCACAACAACAGGTTCTTCAGGTAACTGAGAGCTAAAGTTCAACTGATGTTTGAGCTCTGGAACGAAGATCTTCCTTCTTATACACTAGACTTAAGTGTAGTTTTCATTTGAACCTGATTTGAGACTAATCTTGCTAATGAGGTCCAGCAGCTGATGACACAATGATCTGTGTGAATCCATCAGAAGATAAATCCATGTGAGTTCAATGAAAAACACCTGGAAAGTTTTTGAGACTTTAAAATCCAACCAGAATACGATGTACTTTCAAAAATGGTGGGAAGAAAAGCAGATATTTCAGGTTCCCTAACATTTTTATGGTAATTTGTTATTTTTACTCTTGAAAAACAAACAGGATGAAAGAACAAAGCTGGTTTTAATCCCAGGGTTTCCACCAGAAGACAGCAGCCTCTCGCTGTTATATTTCTGAAGAAGACGGTCGGTCCCCTCTGGATTACTGCTCCTTTTGATCATAAAAGACAAGCAGAGCGTGTTTATTACTGGTAAATTTCTGGGAAACTTGTTGCTTTCTAAATTTACATCAAAGTCAGACCAAAGCTAGAGAATGAACGTTTTAGACGGCAGGCTTGTGCAGCGGCTACAGAGAGGGCCGGTGCCACCTTTCTCCATGAGGCATGTAGTCAGCCATGCCCGCTTTAGTTTTACCACCGAAACACGATCACGATGAAAGGATCCGGATACATTTCTGTTATGAGCAGGAAAGAAAAGAGTTCACGCTCAGCCCTGGTCTCCTTCTCTCCTCTTCTCCCTCCAGGTTGGCTTCTTCCCCAGCGAGTGCGTGGAGCTCATAAATGACAAAGTGCCACAGTCCATGACCAACTCGGTGCCAAAACCAGGTATTGCTTCTTTGCTCAGTCCTTTCACAGAAACGGTAGTTCCCGTGCTCTGCTCACGGCCGTTTTCAGGGAGGTGTGTGATTGGTGAGGAGGCTTTAAAAGTGTGTGTGGCAGTCAAACCAAAACGCAAACTGAACAGTTTTAATCGGATTAGCCGAAATGCAATTTGCATGTACAATTTAGAGCTGATTAGAAGCATGTTGTATCCTGAAGATAGAAATCGATGCTCTGTTAGGGGTCTCCATCTCTTTTATGTCACTTTAGCAAACATTTATAAAGATGACTGAGTTTACGAGCGCGGCGCTGTGAAAGGAAACCCATAATTCTGACACGTCATCCCCTTAGATAACCCACTAATCATGCTATATTGACTGGGCTCCATGGAAATCTATTGCAAATAACTGAGCTAATCTAACGGTGTTCAGAGCAAACGATAATTTGTTTGGCGCAGACTGCTGCAGGAATAAAATCCTCCCAGAACCAAAGAGAACACGTTGTTGTATTTGCTCGATACTTAAAGTGAAAACGATCCCTGCCCTCACCGGCTCAGTCCTCAGGGTGGGTGACTGGAGCCCAAGGTGAAACCACCAAGACTCCAGAGCCCAGATTAAAAAATGAGGGAACAAATGATGCACGCAACGCAAAACAAAAAGGAGAAGAGTGTCGTCCTGTGCACGGGATCTCATGTACTGCTGTTATCTGAAGTGACCCCTTTCCACAAGAACGTTTGAAAGTTTTCTGGGCTGAAATGCAGAAGTCAGAGTTAACCAAGGTTTGCCTTTCCTTCCCTGCCCCCCCCCCCCCCCGCTCGTGTGGCTTTTTTAAAAATATTTTTTATATGCATGTATCCTTTTTTTTTGGGCAGTAATGCATTTGTTTCTCACAAAGTGCAAAACTCTGATGTTTGTTTGCTCTCTTAATCAGCAGACCCATCAAC